TTGAGACACCCTAAACCTTAAACCCCCTAGACCCTAAACGATAACCAGATCAGATGATTGTAAGCGGAAGAAGGATGGCCATGCACCGTGCCAGGCGGAGCGAGTGCTGCTACCTCTCCAATTTCAAGCGCTCTGGCTGCAGATTGGGGCATGTTCAGGGTTGAGGGTTTAGAGTTATCAAGTCCAGATTCAAAAAAGGGTTTAGGGGTGAGTTGTGTCAGCCCGCTGCAAGAAACATCAAGAGATGTTAGTCCGGATGGAGACTGCACTGCGTGCTGCATGAAAGTCAAGACAGCACAGGTTATGTCAGCATAGCTACGCGATAACGACCAGACAGATTGAACGACAACTGAAACATGCCGTAACATGCCGCCTTCAGCTGCTTCACATTCCTGCGGTACGCATGGCTTATGCACATGACTCCCACGAGCGATTGGTGGAGTCCGTCAAGAAGCAGCAGAGGAGCAGTGACATTGCTAGGGAAGGGTGGCGGCACTATTGTGCTGCACTGGGCAATGGCATTCAGGATCCAGCCAAGCACACCAGCCAGTTCCTCGAGGATTTCTTGGATGTGTTGCAGGCCAACCAGATCCCCAGGCAAGTTTCCATTTCATTTCCCGCTTCTCCATTATTCGGGTAACATCCCTACACAATCCCCATGTAGTCCCTATGTAACCCATACATAACCTTATATACTCCTTATATCATCCCCACATAACCTATATAGCGTCCATAGACAAGTAAAGTTCCTATATAACCCTACCTAACCTTGCCTAAACCCTAGACCTTAAACCCTAAACCTTTATATGACCCTCCTCAGGCAGGCTGAGAGCGTAGAGCCTCGGCTTGTGCGCAGCAGTTGTCCTGCACTGGGCGCTGGGCAGATGGAGATCTTAATGCCCGAAAGCGAAGTGAGCGTCATGAAGCTGGGAAGGGCTTTATTATTGTCTAGGGTTTTAGGGTTTAGGATTTAGGGGCTAGGGTTTAGAGCTTCAAGCGTCATGATGCCGCGAAAACGGAGTGAGTGTCATGAAACTAGGAAGGAGACTATTTGGGCTAAGGTTTTTTTACGTAATAATACCAGAAAGCGAAGTGAGCGTCATGAAACTGGCCAGTAAGGGTAGCTAGTAAGATTAGGTAGAAAGAGTAAGAATATTGGGACTTCATAATGCCAGAAACCGAACTAAGTGTCATAAGCATAGGAGGGGCTTTATCAAGGTTCAGGGATCGCAGTTTTGATAGTAATGACAGCAAGCAGCAGCAGCAGCAGTAGTAGCAGTAGTAGTAGTAGTGGTAGTAGTAGTAGTAGTAGTAACAGTAGCAGTAGCAGTAGCAGTAGCAGTAGCAGTAGCAGTAGCAGTAGCAGTAGCAGTAGCA